GACCATGATCACCCTACACCTCTACAACCTCCGCCTCTCAAGTCATCTACAAGACAAAAAGTAATTTGTCCAAATCACTACCTACCCAACTCATCAGTATTGCTGAAGCCATCTCTGGCTATCAAAACAGAAAAGTCAGAACTGTGTATACAGAAGACGTTACCAAGCGACATCAACAAGAGATTCCCTGTAAAGATCACTTTCGCGATTCAGTAGTGGCATCGCAAACCAAGCCAACTGAGTTCACTTGGCAAGAAGAACTGTAATGATTGATCAAAACAATGGTTTTCAGTTAAGATTTTTCTAGGGATTGATTGAAAACAACATGTACGACGAACTGAAACCTAAGGGATCCAGATTGCCTAACCTGTGCGGCTTGCCAAAGATGCATAAGCCTAACATCCTTATGAGACCAATATTATCAATGATTAATTCGCTGTATCACAAAGTAGCTAGGTGGCTAGCAGAAATATTGGAACCAGTTCGTAGTAAATTAGCAGTCTACAGCCTGAAAGACATTCCAGTTCGCTAAACAATTAGAGAATCTAAACATCTCAAATAAATTTATGGTGTCCTTCGACGTGTCTTCACTGGTTGCAAACATCCCATTGGAGGAAACAATACAAATTATATGTCAACAAGTCGAACTTCCTCCTCTGCCTGAGAACGAACTCAAACAACTTTTACTTATGTGTACCAAAGACGTACAGTTCCAGTTCAACAACACGCTATACCGCCAAAATGACGGAGTAGCTATGGGAAGCCCTCTGGGTCTAATTCTGGAGGATATTTTTATGGGTAGTCTAGAACAAACGAGGTCAAAATCCGCAGTCAATCAGACCAACTTCTATAATAATAATAATAATTTACTTTATTCCAAAAACAGTACTTGTGATACAGAATGGAATTTTCAGCATTAATCACAATATTGCACCTAATTTCCTCAAATTATAAATAAAATTATTCACACAGAAAATTTTCCACATTTACAATAGACGTAGTGTCAGAAACATGCAGCATATAAAATGGAAATAATAATAATAATGATAACAGCTAGAGTAATAATAATAAGAATACAAGTGAAAATTACTGTGGGCTTGTTTCAAACAGTATTGGCAATGTGGTATAGAAATCCTAACATGTTTAAAAATATTGAATATAACTTTCTCTTTAAATGATATAGTGAAGGGAAAAACAAAGAATACAGCCGTCATGGAGATAAGTTGGTGTTCACAATTATGAGAGTAAAACAGAGAAGCAACAGGACCATAAATATAATAGAAGTAATAAAAGTAAAACTTGAAGGTATATTAGGATGGATGGATGAAGGAAATTGTTTATTTACTACATGAAAAAAAGGTTAGTTAATTCTTGCCTGACACTATTTTCATCACATAAAATACATTCCAAGTATGGTATCATAGAATTCTTATACTTAGACGTGCGAGCATACAGTTTTCTGAAGTTACTCCTTGTTGTACCTGAGGAGATGCAAGGGGAAAGCTGAGGGTAAAGCGGGTGCTCCATATGAATCATGGAGCCAAGTCTCTTGAAGAGTGATAACACCAGTATTACAATATACATTTGAGCATAATAGCGAATGCAAGTAGTTAATCTTGTTCGATAATGACCTGTAATTTGTGCTCATAATCACAGGAACAGTCATCTGATGCATTGGAGTACACTTTAATGATCTCCACCAACCTCCATGATGCTTTTTCTTAACGTTATTATATACTCGTAAATCAACAGGTTGAAAACATTTTAAATAATCGCGAGAGTAAGTAATGCGACTTGGATACATAATTGAATAATTAAAACAAAATAAATCTGAGGAAATAGATGCAATATGTAGGATGGAAATTTTCGGTAGCCCAAGATTTAAGCAGGCCGCCAATAATATACCAGGTATGTCGATGACACCTTCGTTATTTGTAATTCTTTCACTGATGCATCTCAAGTATTAAAAGTCTTGAACAGCGCCCATCCTAATATTAAGTTTACAATGGAGTATGGAAAAGAAAAGTTCCATTTTCTGGACTTGGGTATTCAAAGAGATAAAGACGACAAAATCACAAGAAATATACACAGAAAAAAGACCTGGAGGGCTGTTTATCTTAAATTCAAAAGCTTCTTCTCTATAAGTTACAAAAAATGATTGGTGAGAACATTATTGGATCGTGTGAGTAAGCTGTGCTCAAAAGAAAAGATTGAGGAAGACCTATCCATTGTGGAGAAATGCCTAAGCGACAACGGTTACCCACAAACTTCATCGACAAGTATGGGAGACGATGTCATGTTGAAAAAGTGAAAAGCAGCACAGTAGAGAAAAAGCCCATCTTTATGCAGGTTGCATTCAAAGGTAATGATACTGCTAGTAGAATAAGATGCAGACTGAACACTGCCCTGAAAAGAACATATCCAGCCGACAAGCTTGTATGTGTTTATCATATAACTAGTTGTCTGAGAGAATGGAAAGTGGACAAATACCCACCTCATTTTACCTCTAACTGTGTCTACCAATTCACATGTACGTGCCAAAGCACAAACATTGGAAGAACAGAGAGAAGGGTTATTGTCCGGCTTTCTGAACACATACCAAAGAACCTGAGACTGAAAGGCCACAAGCGACACTGGTCATATTGGAGACTACCTGAAATCGTTCAAAATAATCAACAAGCAGAAGAAACTTAACTTGCTACGCTTTACCGAAGCCACTGCCATTAAACGACATAAACCAAATCTATGTACACAGAAAGAGACAGTGGTGAATATTGCACTGCGCTGGTGATAACAAAAAAATATACAACTTTTATGAGTCACCTTTTTCATGTTTAGAAAACTCTACTCTCTCTCTCTCATCCAAACATGACTCACCCTACGTCGTTTCTTTTCTTTCCTTCTTTCTATTGGCTATTAGATAAGACGTTTTCTTTAGTTACGTAATCTACTTTTTTGTTATGCTCTTTCTAGCTTAACCTTGTTTCTACATATATATATATATATATATATATATATATATATATACAACCCTGTTTTTGTTTCCAAGCCTAATTGTCAAATTAGGCTATAAATAGTCAGCGTTTGTAACTCCTCGTAATCAGTTAAATCATTCCGGACTAATGTTACTTTTAATTCGTACCAATTACTCCTTATGATCGTGGAAAAGTATGTTCAAGCCTTTAATGTAATTCATACCCCTTTTTATCGTTCAGGTTGTAACCAGTTGAGAAGAATCCTCGAAAAAATAATAAGAGATGAACTCATATTATAATCCTGGTACAACTGTCGTTCTTGCCTTGTTAAAATATTAGTTGTTCTTGTTTATTTTGGAAACAGTCGAATCTGGCGTAAATCAACTTTTGAAAATCATTCTTATGCTTACCTGTAACTGATCACACTTCTAAGGAGAAGTCCTGTCTAGTTAGGCTCACCACGTAGAGTGTGATGGACAAATGCTGACCGAATATATTGACTAGTATTTGCAGAATACATCGACAATATTCAGAAGTTCTTATTCACTTGACGTTGGATTCTGCCGAATTAGATAAAGGGTAGACGATTCCACTTCTTAAACTGACAGTTTCCAACTAGATCTTTGATGATGCGGTCCTGGGTGCTTACTGCTGGAACATCTCAAACTAAAACAGAACAGTTCTTGTACGATCTATCCGAAAATTAGTCAAATCGCCTAGAAATCAAAACCTGTAAATATCATATTCGCTAACATTATTGGTGACTCTAAATTATAGCAGCCCAAACTGAAACTTCCTAGCGGACAAATAAATGAGCTTCAGCAAACAGTCAGGCGACTCCGTATTATTATACAGGTGTACTTATGGATATTGTATGCCTTTTGCGTTGCAAATTCGCTACAGATCTTGCTTTTGACTACTGTTTGGAGAAGAGACCGATAGGAAGGTCGAAAAAATATGAATGTGGATGTGTCATGTATTAAAAAGGATATACTAAGTGCATTGATCGATTTGTTTACAGGTGCAATGAGTGCCGAATCATAAAGTCAATTCGAGAAGGTCTGTTGTTCCCTTTTAGTTTACAGATTCCGTAAGTACTTTTTTCGCCAAGTCTAAGTTACTTCTAATGAAAATTTTAATGATTTGTCATAAGTGCGTGTTTAAAAGACCAATAACAACAAGTGTATGAATCAGAAAATTCAGAAGTGTCTGCAGTGCAGTGAACAAGTACTACAGAGATATAACATTATGGGAAGTGAACAGGCTCACTTAAGTACTTAGTGGAGTTGGCGTCATTGTTCACGTGGATAAGACAGTACTAATGAAAAGAAAATATAATCGAGGGAGATTGAGTGCGAATCAGGAATGGGTGTTGTGGAAATATAACACCACCCTCCACAAAGGATACATTGAAGCGATCCCTAATCGCAGTGCGAATGTTATATTGCCTATTAACCAACTCTTAATGCTGTCTGGAACAACTGTTCATACAGATGAATGGAGTAGTTACACTCAACTATCAAACCTGAGCTACATTCATCACGTCGTCAACCATATAAATGATTTCATCAATCCTTTCGATGGCACTCAAACTAATTGCATAGAAAATCTTTGGAGTCCCCTCAAAAAACGGATCAGATCTGTGAATGGATCAAGAAGTGCAATGATATACAGTTATCTTGATGAGTTTATGTACATGGCTTGGTTTAACAGAACTATGAAAACTCACATGAGAAATAAGGAGGTATTTTTGGAACATATACGAGGACGTTATTCTTTGTAACTATATTTTAGCATTGCATTACTGTAATATAAACGTTTTACTAAAATTAAACGCCGTTTCTATAGAGGCTTCTGATTGGTAAAACTTGTCATTGTCAAGGTCATTTATCAGTTCGCTAGGTAGTTCCGTCTCACAATACGCAGCACGCACTCAGTGGATTTCAAACTCAACGCTCAAAAAGTAAAAAAAAAGTTTCTCAAAAGTTACTTTATTTTTACATTTTCTCAAAAAAGTCTTTTTATCTTCCTAAAGCAAGAAAAAGAAAGGTTATCATAAAATCATAATTTAAAATTACGCGCCTAAATCGATGCAGAAATAAATAAGCCCAGTAGACTAGTAAAACAAAAAGAGGCAAAATTCGAGAGAAAAAGAAAAGAACCATATGAGATGATGATGATGATGATTGGTGGAGAAAAGGAAACATCTGAATATCATCTAAATACAATGTCTTTTTTGTTGTTGCTTATTTTGATAAATAAAACGAACTAAATATGTACATATGAGATAACAGGAAAAAAGTCAGCAAAGTAACATTTATCACATAATCTATCTGGTAAAGAGAGAGAAAGCCATTCTCGTTAATTATCAACAATGATACATAATGTAGGAGGTGTATTTAAAAGGGAATTCAAGCATAAACATAACTTTACTGGGTCATTTTACAAAACTTTACAAATCAACACATAACACGGTATGGTATGTGTTACATGCATAAAACAAGGAGTCTGGTAGTGAAAGACGTGAACGACTTCAGTAGTCTCATTGAAAGTTATCACACATAAAAAAATGCCTATGAATTCACACATACGAAACACACAAAAAACGAAAAGAAAAGAAGTTCGACTTTAGTTTTATTGCTCTGCGATTTTCATTTCAGTTTTCCACATTTTTTGAGGTGCTTAAAAATAATAAAAATTAGAGGAATGTTCGAGGTTAATCTAGATACTGAATAGCTTGTAAAGAATTAGCGGACTTAGATTTACAGCAGTCTTGACAGAGAGAGAAAGAGAGAGAGGAAGGGGGAAGCCTCTGGTTTCACTACTGCGTGCAAAAAACAAAACGTTTAACGAAAGTTCATCTGGATAATTCTTCTTTCTGCGGAATAATATATATATATATGTATAAATCATAATTTCTATGTGTAGAATTGAACTAAGTTATCTGTCTTCCGAAAAACGGGGTTAGGCTGGATATTTCGAGTTTTGAGTTTTATCCCTCAGTCAGTTTGTTTTTGTCATGAAATAATATTTGAATGGTATAACAATGGTAGTAGGCAATCACTAGAACCAGCCAATAGCAGGAATGGATGTAATAATAGCTGGGCAGCTGTTGCTCTTCTCAATGGATCACGAACTAACATTAATCCAAGAAAGGAATTTAATTTTCTAGAGGACTGTAAAAGCAAAAATGCGTTGTAAAACTGTTGTATTATATATATATATATCCAAACCAAGTTCACTTTTAACAGTGGGAAAACATCTGAACAATGGGTATATGATATTATAAGTTTCCAGACCGTAGGTGTTACGAACTTCCTGGAATAATTTGAGCGCCAAGTCAGATTGATTCATTATAAATTATTTAAATTAATCCCAGCGAATTAAGAAAATCAAAACATATAAATCATATAATATTAAAGTCTATGTCAAATCCTCTAATTCTCTGGAGAAGGCGTTGGTGCATGTCAGGATATAGTTCCCAAAAGGACACAAAACAAATGTGTCTACAAGATAAAGTGTTCAGAATTTGAAGCTTCCTTGCTGTATATCAGTTCAAAGAACCTTTACTGCTGGCGAAAGACACGTATTATTCTCTACACGACCGATGGTAATTCCTCGACTGAAAGATGAAGTACCTAGACTAGCCACTTTTAATTGTATCTATCAATTCAACTGTGCTTCTGGAGCCAGTTATATTGGCCGTTGCTCTACGAACTTGATTTTTCGTGCTCAAGAACATTTCCCAGCATGGCTAAGTAAAGGTGTAGTGAAAACTATTAACAGCTCGATATTGGAACATCTGGTGCAAACAGGCCACAAAGCCAGCGTAGATGAATCCTTCTCTGTATTATACCGGGTGCCAAATAAATTATGGAAAACATCGAAGCACCTCAGGCTCCAAACAGCAGAGACTATAGCAATTCGATTCAAACAACCAGCACTCTGTCTTCAAAAGAAACAAGTCCAGCTAGCGCCTACTTCTGCCCTGGCCTTCAATAGACACTATAAATTCATGAATCTGTAATATTATCCTTCCTAATTCTTCTGACATTCAGCTTATTTTGTGTTGATGCGATTCAGCTGTAATCTATCAGTATTATTGATTTGATGTTATTTAAACATTAATGTCATTCATAACACTAATTCATTCATTCATTCACTATAATGTATGTATAAATGTAGAGCCTGGTGATGAAGGGGTTATCGAAAAGAGTACTCTTTGTTCAGTATCCATTTTTCTATTTCCCAGTGAATGAAAAAGAGCAAAACGATATTGTTGTCGTTTTCACTGACGTTTCGCTATTTAGTGCTGCTGCTAATAACTTTAACAAAGTTGAATTAATAAACCAGAATTTACAAAACCCACTCAGATTGCATTAAATAGCGACCTAATCAGACTTCATCAGCACAGGGTAATTTTTACGTTGTTGTCTACTTGGTCAATCAGTAAAGATAACAAAACAAGGTAGGTGTCGACTGCTGGATTCGATAACTGTATAAAATTATAAAAGCAGCGTGTGTTTACATAATGAAATTTTTTATCACATTCGTGTTGATTTTTTCACTTCATGGGGAAGATTGAGGGTGGAGTGTTGTAACCAGACCAAATTCTGTTTCAGTCCATCATTCCTGTTGCGTTCAGACAATTCGGATTCAGCTTGATATGAAGTTCTTCTGATGATATCAGACGTTTTTTGTGATTTCTGAAATGCTTGTTCTGGATGATAATTTCAATATTGTCAGGATAAATTTTTGGCCTGAATCTATAGCCGATTCCACACTGACATTAAGTATGGTCGAAAACGTATTCCGAAAACACGGAGCGGAGACGTCAGACGATATTAGAAGGGCGCTCAGTATTCACGACAGACATCAAACTTTGTTTCAAAATATCAGACACACACTTGTCTATATTAAAGACCAAATCCCTAAAGATTCTCTATATAATTGTGTCTAAAATAAAATGCTTCGAATGTGATGAGATATACAAGGGACAAGACTTGCGCGAAATCAAAACCAAAAGAGTGAATGCCTGTTCAGCCACTGAGAAATCAAGTTGAACTACAAAAGCTTGAAGAAAAATCATCAGCCATAGCTCCTCTACACGCTAAACTATAGAATCAGGCCACACAATTGACTTTGACAATATTGAAATCACCATTCAAGAAAAAGCATTTCAGAAATCACAAAGAACGTCTAATATTATCAGAAGAACTTCATATCAAGTGGAGTCCAAATTGTCTAAGCTGAATACAAATGATGGATCAAACCAGAATTTGACCTGGTTACAACACCACCACCCCCAATCTACCCCCATGAAGTGACAGACTCAACACAAATGTGATAAGCATTTCATTATGTAAACACACACGCTGCTTTTATAATTTTACACACCTATCAAATCCAACTTTCGACACTTACCTGATTTTGTTATCTTTACCAATTGGCCAATTTGACAGCACGAAACGATCACATGCTGTTGATCAATGATTACGTTTGTTATATATAAGCTGAGTGGATGTCGTAAATTCTGGTCTAATAGTACTCTTTTGATAAAGCTATTAGCAACAACAATAAATAGCGAAACGTCCGTAAAAAACAGTAATGTCGTTTTTTCCAATCACTGAGAAATACAAAAAACATTTACTATAATGAACATTTAAAACGATTGTGCAAAACACAGTACCATTTTCCATATATGTAGCCAGAATTTAGGCTTTTTATAATCCTTTCGAATAGGAAATAACCACTGATAAACTGTAATCACGAATCTACATCATTTTCAGAACCACTGAAAATCACGAAGTAATGTACAGCTGTTTCGTCTTTGTTTCAGACTCTTCACAGGTGGTTAGTTAATCATATCCTCATCAAAGGCCGAACCTCGGGGCTTTCATGTTATGAAGGGAGAAAATTCGTAAACGCTTCAGCCACTGGTACGGTACCCAGTGGACTAAAGATACTAATTTATGCCAATCGACCCTACAGCTAGCCAATATCCTCTGTGAGTGTTTGTCCCCATGTCCAGCTTAGCTCACTCTTTTGATCACGACTTTCAACTACTTTAATCTTCAGGTAACTTCAGTCTATAGTCAGTGTCACTGGACTAATTTTCAAGTGATTTTACAGGGATTTGATTGATTTCAAGACGTTAGCAGCTGTACTCTTGCAAATGATATTAAGCACACTTTCGTAGCAAATCAGTAGACGGTCCTGCCACTAGCTAACAACGTGCTCCTCTTGACAGCAGACACGACTGATACGAAAAGACCTAACTGGGCAGCTATTTGTGATGGTATACAGGATATTAAATATCTTACCATTCATTGACATAACATCTGGACATTACTCGTGGTGACTGCAGTGATACAATTACCCGAGGAACTAGGTCTCTTAGCTGATCTATTAGGACACTTAGCAATATCCTAACTGTTGATTTGAATCCTACTACGACTGATTTTCCATTTCACTCCTAAGTGTCACTGATTGAATCACTAAACCTTAATCCTGCATTAACAGACACCTAGGTGTAGTTCAAATAAATATTTTCCGTGGGAATGAATTAGTGGAATAAACCATATTGCTACAGATCTCATCGTAAATGCGATGTAATGTGAAGCTGTAATAATAGTAATAACAACTGAATAGCCACCGTAATCTATCACTAAAAGCTGACTTGTGAAGAAAAACCACGATAGATAAATCCTTGACTCGGACAGACTAACAAATTATCGACTAGTAGAATTGGTGTCGCTGCCTACCGACAAATGGAAAGCCTATGCCCTGCAGATTTTGATGGATCTTCGGGCAGGAATTCAAGGCTTCTGAGCAGTTGAGTGGCGTTCAATATCTGTCAGCGATGAAGCTGCTACTTGTGACGCTGCTTGGAGGTCGAGCGAAAGCACCATATGAAAGTGTGAGCCGAAATACCGACGAATGTCCGACAGGGTCAGGCAAGCAGTTTCCAAAGTGGGAAGGACCATATATGGTCACTTCGAGGTGAGGTTACGCAGACACAATCGCAATGGCGAACAAGGAGAAGCGCTTGAACGTCAGCGAGCTCCAGAAATGGATGCAGCGAGACAAGCTAACGATGACGACCGCACCAAGTAGATCAAGCCGACTTCAGTCCAAACTATGTGACGGGGGGACGAGTGTGATGAGAGCAGGCTACTAGCCAATCGGTAGGCATTAATTTACGTCAATGTCCATGTCGCTAATATTGGCTGTGAGAAAATATGAACACGGCTGATTCAACAACCAATCACAGCAGACTTAACGTGGGCGAATACGATTAGCAGATATATGGCTTAACTTTCTGAGAAATCAGTCAGAAGCAGCACAGAATTTTATTTTTATTTTTGATTACAGCTTGATTCCACACTGTATTTTCGGTACAAGTATGGAATTTTCAGCATGGATATCGGTAGCCCAAGTTTTACAGGCCGACCATAGATATTAGGTGTGCATCGGCAGGGGATCGAACCTCGGACCATGTGCATGATCGGTGAGAGTCCTAACCAATGTGCCACCGACGCACAGAATAACTTTGAGCAAGAAACAACCAATCAGAAGACTGTGTTTGTCTGCTTCAATAAGCTATATAATGTACATGAAATATATATAAATACGTGCTAATTTCCTTAACAAACGATCTGCTGCCTGGCCCTTTTCTTTTCTTGTTACACTTGGATTCAAGCCAGTGGGTTTAGTGTTCGAATCTTGCCCTACCTACTGCTGCTGGCCACCTAGGTAATATCATCAGTCCTCAAATAATAAGTGTTCTCACTAACTGCCTTACTAATTGTTTAGAATTATTATTTTACAGTCTCAATATTAAAATCATTTTCATTAGACTGGCACAGCGGTTAGGACTCTCATCGACCATCCACACGGTCCGGGTTTCAGTCCCCTGCCGACGCACACCTGATATCTATGGTAGGCCTGTAAAATTTTGGCTACCGGTTTCACATGCTAAAAATTACATACTTGTACAAAAAATACGGTGTGGAGTCAAGCTATAGTCAAAATAAAAATATACAACGGCCTATTTTCCAAAGATATGTTCCTACCTACACTTTCGATGGAGAATTTTATATTATGATCAATAAGAAGAACTCACTTTGTGAGGATTCATCAAGTGAGGGATACCATCTCTTTGAATATGTCGCATAACATGTAGAGGTGGTTCATTGAAGAACGATGGTTCACCATCAACCATTTCAATCAGTAATACACCCATTGACCAAACATCTACTGATGTATTATAAGGTAAACGACTAATCACTTCAGGTGACATCCAATATGGTGTTCCGACAAGACTTCGTCTTCGTGGATGTTCAGGAGATACCTGAAAAAAATGATTTCAGAAAATCAAATAAATCGAATCACTAACACATTATTGTTTAATCAAATTGACGGAGAAATCTAAAATTCACTTCAATAATTAATATGACCCATTGCAGAAGACGTGGCTCTCTTGTGCCACAAGTGGTCTAGAGGATAACGCTTTGGTGTTTGAAACTATGGGCACTGGGTTCGAGCCTCTATGGGAACATCATCACTCACTGGGGAATGCAGGTACATTCAGCTAGCGGATGAGTCTCAAATGGGACGGAATTCCCATCCTGGATTCCACTGCTAGTCCCCAACCACAAAATAACTTCTAACACATTATTGATTGATATTATTGGTGTATCGCGAACTGACGAAAATTAGTATTTACGGGTCAGTTAATTCAAACGCAGTAACAAGAACGTTCAATGGACTGGATTCGTAAATCAACAGTTTATCATGAACCATTGAGTTAGAAATTCTGGAAAATCCCATCCTAGGTGTAAAAGAGTTGTTCAGCGATCCTTGGCTTCCAATGAACCACTCAGCGCCATAAGTTGGCGACGCACAACTCGTCGTATCTCACTCGAGTTCCACTCGCCAATCAACCTCTTGAGTTTGTTTCCATTTTTATTACAATTTTTTATTATTATTGTTACCTTTAGTTCCTAGAAGAACATAGGGCTTGAGCCGGACGTCTCCATGGCGTTCGGTTATCTGCGGACATTTTCACCTGGATCCAGGTCTGCTCACATGCTTTCATCTCCTATTCACATCACCTTCTCCTCCATGTCACCCTCAAACTGACGACCAGCTAACTCACCGCTTCTCATTCAGGTTCCACTCGAGAGCCTGTCGTGTGATGTCGCATGATGGTTTGTTTACTAAGAGAATGGCCAATCCACCTACCTCCATTTCTTCCAGCATATTTTGTGCACAATTGGTTCCTGCTGGATTGGTTGGTTTGTTCATTGCATGAGATCTCTGTTGCTGATCTTTTCTGGTGGCCATCTGATCTTGAGTATTGAGCGAAGACAACTGTTAATGAAGGTCTGGAGTTTGTTTGAGATGCTCTGACACGCTGGCCAAGTCTCTGATCAGTATAGGAAGTAGCACTGACTTCACATTGGAGTTGAAAATCCGGATCTTATTTTTGTTGCTGTGTGATGTTGACCTCCACACTGGCTTGATGAGAGTAATGAAGGTTTGTCTTGCTTTTCCAATTCTGGCTTTGATATCCTCGTCAGTTCCCCTCGCCTGTAGTTGAAACGATGCTTCCCAGGTAGGTAGGTAAAGGAGGTTGTTTCTTTCAGGTTCCTCCCATTTATCCTGGCTGACAGTTGTCTGTTGTTGTTTCTGTGGCTGTTGCTGGTGGCCAGGAATCTTCATCACCTCTGTTTTGTCTATGTTTACTTGAAGTCCTGTCTACTCTGGATGCTTCTTCTGCCAACTTGTTGCTTTTCACTTGCATATCTACCAGTTTGTGGGAAATCAGACATATGTCATCATCGGCGAAGTCCAGATCCTCCAAATCTCTTTTTGTGTGAGTCAATTTTATGCCTGTTTCCTCATTGCCCGTTTTCTGTCTCATTATCCAATCAGTTGTAATCAGGAAGATCATTGGTGATAGTAGACAGCCTTGTCTCACTCCCGTCCTCACTTCGGAGGATTCCGTAAGTTTCCCGTTGTGGATTACTTGTCATGCAGCATTGTCGTATAACTGTTGGATGAGATGTATAATTGTCGATGGCACCCCGTAGTAGCGAAGTAGTCGCCAAATCACCTCTCGATCGACGCTGTCGAAGGCCTCTTCAAAATCGATGAAGTTGAGATAGAGAGTTGAGTGACTGCCATTCCAAGCTTTGTTCAATGATGATCCGTATCGTGGCGACTTGATCAATACATGACTTGTTTCTCTTGAATCCAGCTTGTTCCGGTCGATGTTTTCCATCCAGGTTGGTGTGTTTGATTCTCTGCAGGATGATGCGGCTTAGTTTTCTGCTTGGGATGGACAGGAGCATAATTCCGTGTCAGATTTTGCATTGACTTAAGTCTCCTTTCTTTGGTAGTTTGAATAAGTATCGTTTCTTTCAATACTCAGGTACTTCGCCCTCTTTCCACACCTTCTCCAGTAATGGCGTCATCAAATCCGCTGTTGTCTCTGGGTCCATTTTCAATGCTTCTGCTGGGATTCTATCTGGTCCTTCTGCTTTTCCAGCTTTTAGCATCTTGATTGCATTCAGGACTTCAGATTTCTTCATAGATAAGAAAGTTAAAAGTAAACTGCGTAATTGAAAACTTCAATCAAGGCTTATGTATATATAGACGTTAAAATTACTTACTCTTGCACAGAAACCGAAATCAGACAGCTTAACACGTCCTTCAATAGATAATAAAATTGAATCTGATTTAACGTCTCTATGAATAATTCCATGATCATGTAGAAAGGCCAAGGCACGAAGAACATCACGACACACTGTAGCAATTTGTTTCTCTGACATTCTGTATGGCAAAGAGATAATAAAAGTCATCAATCAAAAAAGAACATTAGCGGGCGGTAATAATTCATATGCACCCCCATAACGATGCATAATTCTTGATCGCAAAAGTACAAATCGAAACGTTCAAAGAATTTTCATGGCTAAAATTTAGTCGTAATATCATCGGAAGGAATAAATAAAATCAACGCTTAATAGTTAATTCATGAGGTCTTTGACAGGTTTTACACTTGTGTCCACCTCCTTCCCACGGGTCTTAGTTGAATTGAATACATTATGAACAAATCAAACGAACAAGGATATCCATGGAGTCTGACATGTGCCAGTTTGCCATACACAGTGATACCAACGTTATGTTATTGTCAGTATATGTCCTTTCACCCAACTTCATGAATCCTGATAATCACGACTACTCATAATCACTGGAACTACAGGAGCTCCTTCCATCCTTCATTTCACTGATTTTATCTATCAATGGTAATACCACTATAAGTACAGCTTAACTGAGACTGAAGTGAGAACGAATGCAAAATAAAAAAGCACCGGGCAGCTGTTTCATCTTAGTTTGGTCTGAATGGCCAAATGGATTTCGTCTCAGTGGCTGGAAGGTAATGTGACAGACTTGTAACATAAACGTTCTGTCTGCGATACTCAACACATCCTGCTGGAGAGTCCTTAGATTGGACGAAACCATTGTCCAATACTTCGTGATGAAATTTGACTTTAAATATTTGAAAGCCGACTGTCATATGACTTTATGCAGTAATCTGAATTTAGTTGACAAATAATGACAGTTGAATGAAAGACCCTCAATATCTATCTGAGTGGTAAGTCTTATAGCCGTCAGCAACAAAGTCCCCACTTGAGAAATTAGAAATAAATGGTTCATTGATTTGATGAATGTTTGAAAACAAAACACGTAGATCAGCGAAGAGTCTCTTTTCTCCCGCGAATTCATTTTCTTAGCTGTACAATCGCAAATATGCATATGTGTTATTTTGTATGTATGTGTACATTAAATTTGTCAAACAATCAAAATAAAAAAAATCAAATCGAAACATTGTTAGCATGACAGTAGAAAAGGTTGAGTAATCTTCTTTTGTATGCACAGCTCCGGCTTTTCTATGTGAATGGCCAGAGTTTCAGCGATGCGAAGGAGACGAAATCGTATTGTCTTCGACAGGTTATTGTTGACTCTGTAGATTACTTTGAAATGGAATGATCAGTGTTAACCAGGTGTTCAATTGTTGGTTTTGATGACTTGATTTTGTTTGTTTGCCTGTTTCTTTAAATGCTTATAATTCTATTCATTTAGAACTCTTACGTAACTTCGTATTATCCACTTTGCTTCTGTGTGCATCCTGAGTAGAACTCACTCATCAGACTATTCTTATTATTATTACATAACTTCCTTTAACAACTATTTGCGACAACTCATCACCTTTGTTACTACCCTACTAATTTCCTTAATACCTAATTCTCTTGACTTGTATTACCAATCTTCACCTGTTTAGTTAAAATAACCTTAACCAATTGTAATTTTGTTTGACAAACTTAATGTACACATACATACAAAATAACACATATATATTTGCGATTGTACAGCTGTGCAAATGAATTGGCCGGTGAAAAGAATAACTCTTCGCTGATCTACATGTTTTGTTTTCATTAATGCCTGGATGGGGATTATCCATGAATTGATGAATTTTTAACTAGACCATTTAGAAGACAAATACTGTATGATAATGCAAATTTTTCCTCTCTCCCCGTGTGTGTGTCTGTGTGCGTATGTGCGTGCGTGCATCCCAAATTATTAATACAGCCAACCACTTTTTCTACTCTTGAATACGTGTCTAACCAGAGCTATGGTTACTAATATATCCCACATAATCACCGAGAATTACATTGCTAGTGGACTCTCATCAACTTATTAAGTGTAGTAAGTTATGAAAACGGAGATTGAGAATTGATGGCGATGTCACTGAGTAATCTCATTGATGTATGTCCAATCCTCCTGCATTTTTCTTCGCCATATTTGTTGGGCAATAGGTTCTTAGTTTGTTCATTTCAAGAGCTTCCTTGTTGCTAATCCTTTCTGTATACCTGATCTTTTATATAGATCCAGAAAAGGTATCTGTTGATAAAATTCTGCAGCCCGTTGGAAATGCCTTTTGCTGATACACCAAGCCTCTGGACCTATAGAAGCAGGAACCTGATATATTTTTCTCCTTCATGTTCCTCAGTGGAACATAGGGCTTCAAGCTAGTGGCTTGAAGTTTCTGTAGCAGTGTTTATTTTTACAGGATGGGGTTGCTAGCCTCATGCCCAACCTTTCCTCTTTACCAGCATTATTTCTGGCTTAGCGAGGTAAAGGAGTGCGTCTGTGGCCGGGGATCGACCCCCGGAGCATGTGCATGATCGGTGAGCATGCTAACCACTGCGCCACCGACGCACAGGGACTTGATATTAGTGCTGTGAAATTCGATTCTTATTCTTCATGCTGAACGGAGTATATTTCCACATTGATTTCAAATTGTTGACGGCCTGTCTGTTGCAGTTTTCTAGACAATTTGGCTAATTTCATTGTAGGTTTCACGGCGAACTAACAACAGTTAGACAATCTTTGGAATCGAAGATGCTGTCGATAGCCACCCGTCCTACTTCGATGTTTTTTTAGCAGTGAAAACCTTCGGATTATCAGGCTAGCTTGCACATCATTCCACCATCGGGTAGGAATTCACTGAACCATCAGTTAAAAGTTTATCAGTTGGCGATATAGCACTACCTCCAACCAATGACATCAATGACGATCCCCTTCACCGGCATACAGGTGAACTCCCTTGGACATGATTTATTATTAGAGCCTTAGGATATCCACACTATGTCCATCAATGAGCTTGAGAATAATAGTTTAGTAGGAATTTTGACTAGTTTCCATAGAAATTTAGTCAAAAATTAACATAATTTTTGGAGTTTTTGAAAACTAAATTATGCTGGCTGTTCTTGTAAGTTTACAGTCACCATTTAAATCCTTAGTAGAGTCATATGGTTGGCACTAGTTAAGAGTCTTGTACTAAGACAGAATAGGCGTCCAGTGTTCCTTGATTATCAATTATTCTTTAATTAATGTCAGTTGAAAACGAAATCTGAAATGAAATATGGAATGAATAAACTTTCTACGAAGAGAGGAGTTTTTCGCAAAATATAACTGTCAGCAAAGTTTAATCTGTTTCATTTTACTAGATTATCAACTAAATAAAAATTGGTAAACTAGTAAAAATTATACTTCTCATCCAACAGTTGTACGATAATAATGCATGCCAAGTAATCCACAATGGGAATATCACGGAATCCTTCGAAGTGAAGATGGGAGTAAAACAAGCTAGCTGCCTACTATTTCCGACGATTTTCATCACTGAGGTAGACTGGATAATGCAACAAACAGCAGGCAGGGGAACGAGGAAACAGGCATAAAATGAACCCACACAAAAATTTGGAGGGTCTAGACTTCGCCAATGTGATATGTGTCTGATTTCTCACAAACTGGAAGATATGCAAGTGAATAGCAACAAGATGCAAGAAGAGGAAGCACCAAAGATAGGATCTCATTTTAGGTGAATATAGAGAAAACAGAGATAGGTGATAAAGATTCCTGGCCAACAGCAACGGCAGCAACAAAAAGAACAGACAACAATCAGCATAAATGAGAGAAATCTGAAAGAAGCAACCTCCTTTAAGTACCGACCTACCTACTTGGGAAGCATCTTTTCAACTACAGGCGGAACTGTTAAGGTCAACAGCACTACTCAGCATCAAAAATAAGATCCGGATTTTCAACTTCAATGTGAATTTAGTGCTACTTGCTATATGGATCAGAGACTTGACATCACGCCACGTCATCAAGAGCACTTCAAACAAACTACACAACTTCATCAACAGCTTCTCCGCTCAAGATCAGATGGCGGGTCAGAAGAGATCAGCAACAGAGAGGGATCTCTGACAATAAACAAACCAACCGAGTAGGAGCCGGTTGTGCAAGAAATATACAATAAGAAATGGAGGTGGATTGGCCATAATGTGAGCAAACAAACCATCAAGTGAGTGACATTACAAGAAAAGCCATCACTAGAGTAGAACCCGAATGGGAATCGGCAAGTTAGGCGGTCGTCAGTGCGAGGTTGGGATGACTTGGAGGAGTCAATGTGAAGAGTAGTATATGGGCAGACGTGGAGCCAGGTGAAAACGTTAGTGGTGGAGAACCGAACGCAATGAAGACGAGCGCATCTGAAGCCCTATGTTCCTCTAGGAATTAAAGCAAACAAATATAATACAAATACAATAAGTTTAGCAACTAGTGAAGATCAAAGCTGGGAAATATCAACAACAATGAAACGGGCTTCATTCTGGATTAAATATTCAGAATGCACAAAACTGTCAGAGTAATCTATTGCATAATATTTTTTATTCATCCAGGATCTATAAGTAGAACAACCATCCATGTGCCAAATTGTAGTTTTATTTGAAGCATCAATCAAACTCTTACAATATTCTACCTTCGTCAGTGAGAAATGACCACTAGTATTTTGAAAACCCGTTAAAAATAAGCGTTAGTACATTCTGCGACCAAAGAACATAATTGATAACTTAAAACATTAGGAATAAGAAGAAATATGATGTGTATTGTGTTGCAATGAGAAGCATGCAGCCCAGTGATTCAAGCAGGCCTCCATAGACTCCATCGTCCTTCTAGACAACATAGTCAGTGCTAACTACATGCCGTAGAGCAATCGACTCCCCAGTACAAATTTCTTTCAATTTTACCAAAAATAACTCAATGATTTGTAACATAAAAAGATGATTAATTCTTTTTTAAGAATACAAAGTGCTCCTCAGTAGTATAGTGGTGAGTATCTCCACCTGTCTCACGTGGAATGCCCAGGTTCGATTCCCTGTAAAGGAGCTGTCTTTCAGCAACGAAGATACGATTGAAGGTGAACATAGAGAAGATGGAGGCGATGAAGATAACCTGACCAAACCTAATTGCTGAAATAGAGGTTACTTCCTTCACCAACTGATGAAGATGTTAAAGCTAGACAGCACCGGAAAAGCAAGATGCACTTTCATCAATCTGAAAGCGGTTTGGAAATCTTCCCCAATCCATTCCAGCAAAAACAACAAAATTCGGATTATCAACACCAATGTTAAGACAGTCAGTGTTTTTATATGTGTCATAAACTTGATGCTAACATCATGAAAATCATTTCCAACGTGTTCAAGACTTTTGTCAATAGTTGCCTTCGCTAAATCAATATTTGAAGATCAAATGTCCAAAAAGGATTCACAACAAGGAACTACAGGAACAAACTAACCAAGAAACTATCGTTCAACAAACACACGTGAAATAAAATGGATATAGATCAGTCATTCGCTGAGGAGACCATGAGGTGACATCAAATGCCATGACATTGCTTGAGTGTAATGCGAATGAGAAACGACGACTTAGTCATCCCAGGATTACATGTGGCGAGGAGGATAACAGAAAGTAGAACGAAGTCGAGATGTGTTGTCGAATCCACGTGTTTCCCTCGGAACCCAAGGAAACAATAATAATGATAGTTAGAATACAAGAGGGTTTTTAAAAGTCATACCAGCGACTTTCCTTCCCCTAATTTATCACATATCTCTTTGATGTTAACATCACTGCGTCCAAACAGACATCCGTCTCATTATTATTATTGTTTCCTTGGGTTCCTAGTGGAACATAGGGCTTCAACTGCACGTCTCCACTTGCTTCTGTCTTGCTTCTGCTGTACTTTACATCTGCACCATCCATGTTAGTTAGTCCATACTGTTTCAACTCCTCTTCACACGATCTCCTCCATGTCACCCTTGCACTGACGTCCCACTCGCCACTTCCCTTTCGGCCTGGTTCCAATCGAGGGCCTGATGCGCGATGTCACCAACCGACCTCCTCAGCGAGTGTCTAATTAATTTCCACTTTCTCCTGCATATTCGCTGGGTTGCGATTGGTTCTTGTTTTGTTTGTTTGTGCCCATAGTTCCTTTTCGGTGATTCTTTCTGGCCCGACCATCTGATTGATCTTCAGCATAGAGCGAAGATAGTCAGTTGTTGATAAAGGTGTGCAACAGGCTGTCTGAAATATTCTTTGTGACCCTCCAAGTTTCTGATCCGTATAGGAGAACTGACTGACTTGACGTTGTTTGTATTGAAAAACCGACTGGATTTTGTTGTTGATGCTGAGTTGAGTGACAAAGATTTCCAGATTGATTTCAGGTTGATGAATGTGTTTCTCGCCTTTCCGATTCTCACTCGATTTGACATCCTCATCCGTTCCGACTTCCTGTAGTTGATACCATGCTCCCTAGATGATAAGTGAATCGAGTAACCTCTTTCAAATCCCTCCCGTTGATTGTGATTGGCGCTGGTTGTTGCTGCTGCTTTTATTTTTTCTTGGTTGGTTACCACTATCCATTCGCCTATCCATACTGTTATATTCCTTAATGACCTCTAATTGTCCTCTGTTATGGCAATAAGCTAGGGACAGACTTCATTTGCATATATATATATATATATATGATGGGTGATTTCTGGAGATGAACTGGAATCTACGGAGCGGGAACACTCGATTCACTGAACATTTTTGACTCTCTACCAGTTGAACTACAACACCCCACCGGCTAACTAGGTTTTGGTTGAGTGGAAAAACAACACTGAAATATGAACACAGAGAATGATGCTTACAGTGTTCGTGTAACAATATTGGTCAATGCACCACCCTCCAAATATTCCATTGCAACCCATAATTCATTTCCAATTAAATAAGAACCAAACATTTCCACAATATTTGGATGAGGATACGTTTGCATAATTATTACCTATTTAAAGAAAAGAAACAAGAGAAATATTGTCAAAATTAACATTTTTGAATGAATTGAAACAAACCAACTAAATAAAATTTTCACATTATAAGGTGTAATGTTTAAGCTATTTTAAAAGATAGATTTTTGTTATACAAGTATTTCCACCACTTGAATATAATTGTTGACACTATAGCAATGAGAAGAGGTAATTTGTCTGAATCGTGTAATGTCTCTTTGCTCAACACACTTCGAACAATCTAATCACACACGGACTAGTTATAGGAATATATATGAGATCAATAAAGAGGTAAGAGGTGAGAAAATAGACTTAGGTCGAGTTAGAAGGGCATATTCAAGGTCAAAATAACAATGAAGATCATTAAACAAAATAAGAGAGGTAACAGTTCATCTACTCTGGTTGATATCAAAACAAAGTTTACCAAGGAAGGTTCAGTGTGATGACGAATTGTTGCTTTGAACGCGTAAAGATGGTTTAAACTTTCCACAAAATTTATAATACGCCCCAAAACCGCTCTACAGGTAGGTTTAAAAAACGTGTAAACATCAATTTTATGTCTTCTCCCTAAAATATACTTCACAATAGTGGAGCTTGGTCTCCTGTACTCACCATTAATGGGTTCTGACGATTCTATTTGTTTGTGAAGTCATTTAGAAATATACACTGAAGTCAGCCCTTACTTGCAGAGATCGATGAATCCTCCCCATGTATGTGTATCCACACGTACATTCAAACTGGTAGACACAGTGGAATGTGACATCATTTGTCGCATGTTCTACGGGCTCAGACGGATATATGGGCTTCACATTCTCAATTATTATGATATGAGCTGCATAAAAAGTCTTTTTAACAGCAGCGTTCAGCCCTTGTCTAGTTATCAAGCTGCTATGGTGCCATACACAGGGTAGCTTGATGTACACGTCTTTCTTAAGGGTAGTCAGTGCGCCAAGACCCACTCTCCAACTCTCCTCTAAGAAAGACATGTGGATCAAACTGCCCTATATGGGTGATCATAGTAGCTTGAAAGGTAGACAAAGATTGAACGCTGTAGTTAAAAAAGACTTTTTATGCAGCTAAGATGAGAATAACTGAGAATGTGAAGGCGACATATCCATCTAAGCTCTTAGGAAATGCAAAAATTGATGTCACATTCCACTGTATTTACCAATTCGAATGTACATGTGGATACACATGTATGGGGATGACTCATCGATCTCTGCAAGTAAGGGCTGACTTCAGTGTATATTCTTAAATGAATTCAGAAACAAATAGAGTCGTTAGAGTTCATTAATGGTGAAAACAGAAGACCTACCTCCTATATTGAGAAACATATTATAAACACACGACAGAAAATTGATGTTTACACGTATTTTAATCCCACCTGTAGAACGTGTTTGGGGCTTATCCTTGAGTTTGTGGAAGCCTTAGCAATTTGAAAGCTAAAACTGTCTTTATGAGTTCGTCAGCACAATAAACCTACCTTCCTTGGTAAACTTCGTTTTGATACCAGCCAGGGAGGTGAACTGTCACCTCTCTTATTTGGTTGAGTGATCTTCATTGTAATTTTCACCTTGAATATGTCCTTTCAAGTTGATCTAAATTTATTTTCTCACCTTTTAAGTCTTTATTAATTTCACATATATTCCTATGACAAGTCCGTGTGTGATTAGATTGTTCAAAATGTGTTACGCAAATACACATTACACGATTCAGACAAATTACGCCTTCTTATTGCCTTATCTAAATTCATAAACGGAACTAATTGTTTTAAAGTTTATAGTATAGTCAAACAAACATTTCTTTCCAAGTGCTGAGTGAATGCCTCAGCAGCACTGGATGACGCGGTCATATTGTGGTGAGAGCAGGCTGCTAGCCAATTGGTAGACATCATTCTACGTCAATGTCTAGGTCACTAATATTGGCCGTGAGAAAATATGAACAAAGCTGATTCGACAACCAATCACAGAAGACTTAACGTGGGCAAATATGATTCGCAGATAGATGGCTCCACTTTCAGGGATTACCTGAAACAACCAATGAGAAGCCTGCGTTTGTCTCCTTGAATAAACTATAATAATGTACAGTGTAAGATCAATTCTATTCCCATCCTTGAATCAAGTCAACCTGTCCCGGATCAGCCTAGCGTTGTTGAAACCCAATTATCCATGCCAAACGTGTCTATCCCTGCTTGTTTAATGAACTGTGTGTATGTGTTTTTACCTCGATCCGTTTAGTCAGACAGTTGAACTCATGACCCAATCAAAGTATTTTGTGAACTGTTATTTTTGCTAACCCATGTCTTACTTTGTACTATTCTGTCGAGTTTATCTTATTTATTGATCTTCACCTGTATTTTCCTACTTGGTTAAGTAGCCAATTAAATTCTGTCTTTGCGCCTATGCTCGGTCTATCTCTTAACCGCTTTCTGTTTTTATGCCATGTCTTACTTGGGTTCATTTTTCTACTGACTGCTTACCTGAACGGTCGTGTCTGGTCCCGGCTGGTTCGCAATTTCGGCTTTAACGTTATTCCGCTCTGATAGCGCTACCTTGTTTCCTGTTAAGCATTGTGCTTTGTACTCTTGAAACCGTTAAGGTTTGTTGTATATATAATTATTGATTTGTTTATTAATAGTACCGTAGAAACAGTGACCGGCTTCTTGTTTGTTCTGGACCGGGATAGCGTTTATCTACGCGTAACTTAATTTCAAGCGATATTGAGCTTACACACAGGAAATATATATAAATACGTGTTGATTTCCGTAATAAAAGCATCTGTTGGCGGCCCTTGTCTTCTGTTGTTACAATATTATCTCAGAAGGGATACTAGTTCTTTCAAGGTTGAAAAAACACACCTTACTGTCAAGTATTAATAAGCACGAAACCCAAGTCAAGTGCGGCTTCCTACCGATTGCAGGCGTACAGCAAACAGACGATATCCGCTGTTGATAAGTATACTTTAGTGTGTCTCGACCATCCTCTAATGCTGTAACTTAGATCCGTCATTTGATGTGCATTATATTCGGATCAGGTCAACAAATTAAGAAAGTTGTCCAGCATTGAAATAGAAAGAAAAACTGTCAGTATATTTCATCATGGAGTGTTATCCACTGGGAGGCTTCACAAATATTCACATTTTGCAAATCAGTGAGTGGTTTGCTATCTACACAGTTAGATGAAGTGAAATTTTCACCGTAGTTTTCTTTGGAAACCAAGTTATTCAGATCATCATAATATATGATCGACTTGATACCATAAATGGTAATTAAGAAAGTAAACATATTTTCATATAACTACATATATTACTGATTGATTCAGATGAGTAGTTTGCCTAACACTTTTATCCAGTAAGTATTCTTCTGTGGTGGTGTTATTTAGATTGGTACCCATTGCATAAAACTTTACTATCATGGTTCAGGGGGTAGCAACTTGGCGCTTAAAAGAATGAACTCTGTACTTTAGCCCAGGTCGAAAAATCACCTCTTACTAGGAGGAATGCAGATATATCCAGTCTATAAGTCTCAGAAATAAGAAATAGCGCGTTTTGCGTTCATCAACTGACAGCTGCAATCAACCAAACAGTTGATAAATTCATTAACCAGGAGATGTAGAAACATTAGGTTGATGCGTTCTAAATAATACTAAACTGGAGTGAATCTTTTAAAGGCAAGATAATCCCTATTACAAGATAACCAAAACTGCTGAAAATATATAACGTCATACCAGTCTACAGAGTATTTAAGAAAGTGTTTCTCAGCGAAACCAAGTACTTTGTTCAATTACGTATATACATATAATTATATAGACTCATATTAATATTTAATGCGTTAAGCAGCAGTGTGACGTGACACTTCACTGATTATACAACTTCATTAACCAACAAAAATAAAGTAAGAATAAATGTAGCATTAACGTTATTGAATTGAATTTTTGATTTTCCCGTCGATTGATTGGACCAAAGTGCTCGGTCTCAGGTTGACATGTCGGCTTCTTGTGCAGATGCTTCGTCGATGTCCGGGCATTTATTTAGTATACAGTTGGCGGATGGTGGCTAGCAGTGAAATCCAGGATAAAGCGCATTTCGTCCTATTTTGGACTCGTCAACTGGATATACCTGCATTTCTCAGTGAGTGATGATGTTCCCACCGAGGCTCGAACCCAGTGCCCATAGTTTCAAACGCCAAAGCGCTATCCACTAGACCACATGGGCCACGAGAGCCACCTCTTGTGCAACGGGTCATATTAATTATTGAATTGAATTCTTGATTTTCTCGTCGATTGATTGGACCGAAGTGCTCGGTCTCAGGTACATCCAGCTGATGAGTCCCAAATAGGACGAAATGCGCATCCTGGATTCCACTGCTAGCCACCATCCACCAATTGTATACTAGCATTAACGTATTCACCACTAAAACAGAAGGGTATTATTCAGACTTTGAATCAACATAAATAATGTTAGGTCAGCCATTGCTTCTATATATGCGTCAGAAACTTGGTGTGCCCGTCAAGAAAATCAATTTGCAAACATTGCACACATTTAATCGACAGCTACCTTCTGTTCATAGTGAAGACTAACTAGAAAGACCAGACCAGAAAGCACTCTGAAGACGAACCAGTCACAAAACTATTGTTCAACAAATACCCTCGAAAAGAGAGTGGAGATAGATAAAACACATGACAAGAAAACCGTTGGAATAGCATCTCGCGCGAGGTCCTCAAAGAGAATTTCACTGGGAAACGATGAGTTGGGCTTCCAAGAGGGGGACTTGAGGGAGGAGCTTTAGCGAACAGAGCAAAGTTGAGATGCACTTCTGCAGTCCTATGCTCCACTCTGAACCCAAGAGAAGTTTTGATAATTTTTGGGTAGGAATTTCGTCACAAACCAATAACAGTTGAAAAAAATGAAAAAACAAACATTGGTGCAAAATAATATGGATCTGTTTAATTTGGTCAGTTCTCGTCATCTGACTGTAACCTATGATGTCACATATAACAAG